CTTAGTATCATGATTTTACATATCATGATACATCACGAAATGGATACTCTTGATATCTGCTGAGGTTTGGTTCTGGGACTCCCTGTGGATACCAAAATCTGTGGATTCTCAAGTCCTATTTAAATGGTGTCCTTTATATAAAATGGCAAAATAAAAGTTTGTGTTTCGGAATGTATATATTTTTTGAATATTTTCATGTCATGGATGCTTGACTCTATAGATAAAGAAGGCCGAATGTAATTTGTTATCACTGTATGTCTATATGCATGTATGAATGAAGGAATGAATTTATACTCTTTGAAAGCAGGAGAAGTGCTTGTGTGATTTCATTCTGCTTCACATGCCAAAACAACTTGATTTGCTTTGAGTATTTTGCTCCTTGGCTTGCGGACTGGGATGCCATTTGTTGGCTCTGCCTCTGGAACCAAAATGTTGTGAGCCTGCCCTAGATGGCAGAAAAGGTTTTCTATTTGCTAGTCCCAGGCAACTACTAAGCAGCAACACATTTGGCAATGTCAGAATTTTATGTCAGGAGTGGAGTGAATTCTGCAAAATAAACCGGAGGCTTGCAAGGGATTATTGCCAACCTGTTGTCCCAGCAGGCCTCCTGTGCATTTGCCAGTTGCTTGACAGACAGCAGAGATGGTAAATATATTATCCCTCATGGTTCCATCTCCATGATAAGCATACCTAACAATAGAGGGAATCCAGTAAGCCTTTCAGAGCAATATTATAAACTAAAAAAATTAGATTTCCTCTGAAATTTGACACATCATCAAGTTAATTAGATTTTTTAAAAACTACTAATATAGTTAAAAATATTGCTTCTCTGTAAGAGAAATATGAATTAATTTTCAATACAAAAATTGATTTAAGGAGTTGAAAAAGAATCAGAAACAAAACAAACTATGAATTTATGATAGGATTTACTCCTTCCCTTTTACCTGAAATTGTTTTGTTTTTAATTTATTTTATTTTGTTATATATGTATAGATGATGACCTAATATATTATGAATAATTTACTTCTAGATTATTATGCGCAAGGAGAAGCAGCATATTTGCATGAAAGAACCTTGATTAGAGTTCAGTCAGATCTGGCTTCACAAAAACCACAACCACAGTTGGCCCTCTTGTGGCTGTGACTGGCAATTGTTTTAACTCAGCATCTGGACCTGCCTGCCCTCCTCTGGCTGACTTCTTTCCAAATGGCTGACTTTGAGACAGTGATTAATTCAGCCTTGTCAGTGAGCCCACAAAAGTTGCTATCCTGGACACGCACACACAAACACACACATCCACATCCAACTAGCTTGAGCAGAATCTTCTATTAGGCATAGTATGGTGGCTGCCTCAGGCAACCGCCATACTCTAGAGAAGTAAAGTGTTAGGCAAACAATGTACTATTATTATTGTGCTGTTGTTATTATTACTCCTGTCACAGAGTGCAAAGAAGTGTGTGTGTGATTTTCTACCTAGAAGGCCAAACAGCCCTGTTAGTCCTAATGGACTTCTCAGTGGGCATCAATATTTTTCTGAGTTGTTTAGCCATGATAGCATGGAAAAGGGGGAATGACCTTGCAGTTTCAGCCCTTACTGGAAGGCTATACCCAAAATGTGGCAACGATGTGATAGGTTCACTTTAGGGTTGCCATAAGTTGGAAACGACTTGAAGGCACACAAGACATATACATATACCCAGAATGAGAGCCAATGTGGCATAGTGGTTTGAGTGTTGAACTATGACTCTAGAGACCAGGGTTCGATTCTCAGCTCAGCCATGAAACCACTGACTGATCTTCGGCAAGTCACACTCTCTCAGCCTCAGGGGAAGGCAATTACAAACCTCCTCTGAATACATCTTGCCAAGGAAACCCCATTAAATGTTTGCCTTAGAGTTGCTGTAAGTCAGAAACTACTTGAAGGCAAACAACAACAACAACAACAACATACCCAGAAAGTGGTACCAGTGGGATGGTAGTATATTCTGAAGTCAACACTTCCACAGATAACCCATATGAGTCCTCCCAGCCATTACAATTGGTAGTTGAGCCTGAATGCATGAGTCTACCAGGAAGGTTCATCAAGCTGGCAAGCACAAAAGATACAGCCTTCTTGATGGTGGTGAGTGTGGAATTCCCTACAACAGGGAATTTGCCCCTTCTTTTGTGTACTTATAAAACCTTATGAAACCAAGGTGTTCACATTTTGTTGTTGCTGTGTGCCCTCAAGTTGTTTCTGACTTATGGCAACCCTAACCAATCATGGGGTTTTTATGGGGCTGAGGGTACATAGCAAGAGCAATAGCAAGTACATTTCTATACTGCTTATCCCTAAGCACTCCCTAAGTAGTTTACAATGTGTAAGCCAGGTACTCATACATGACCTGCCCAAGATCACCCAGTGGATTTCCATGACTGAACAGGGAATCGAACCCTGATCTACAGAGTCGTAGTCCAACACTCAAACCACTGCACCCCACTGGCTCTCCATGTTCAGATGCTGATTGTTTGTACATGTTATATATGGCATTGAGGCATTGCTACTATTTTTGTTTATTTTATTTTAGGATTTGTTTTAGTATTCACTGTACCCATACAGGCATGCCTCAGTTAACAGGATCCCTGACAAAATTACAAAGTCTTTTTATGCCAGTTACCCTCTCTTTTTCCTCCTGCCCCTCTGTCTAGCTGTCTAGAAGCATCAACATTGAGAGGGTGGTGAAGAGGGCTGGAGAAATAGACTTTTAGTGTAAGGTTGCAGCACCATGTCTGCAATAAAGAAATAGCAGGTTGAGCTGGAAAGGAATGGGATTCAACAGCAGCCAACCCTATTGTAGCTGTATGTCCTTGCCTATAACAGAGAAGGTAAACAGAAACTGTCTCCAGAATCCCTGAGTAAGCCTATGTGAACAGAAAAAAAGAAAGAAGAAGAGGAAAAGAGAAAGCTGATTAACTTGCTTTATCAAATACCCCAAATATGTTGAAATGCATAGATGGCCACATAAGTCTTGTGGAGGCTAGCAAATAAAAATAAATAAATCCCTGAATGCATTTTGGAAGAAGCTTTAACGTGGTCTCAGGAGTGTTCAAAGTATTTGAATTTATTTATGAAAGATTTGCCTGACCGCTTTGTTTCAATTTGATGTGCATATTGTTAGTTTTGAATAAAAAGTTTGCTGAAACATTTTGAACTGCTCTTTTTT